TATTTATTTATTTATTTATTTTGTATTTTTGTTTTTTGTTTTTGTTTTGTTTTTGTTTTTTTCCATGTAAGCCTTTTGTTTTAATAAATAAGACCGATTCATGGCTTAGATTCTAAATCACATTTACAGATGAGAAACGCTTCTAGGCCCAAACAGGTGAACAGTGAAGCTACTAGTGCTGGCAGGAATGCATGCCCCCCATGCATCTGAAGCCTAAAGAGCAGAGACTGAATGTCAGAGAACACCAGACACATCACCCTCTAGACTCGAGAACTGACAGCAGAAGACGAGAGGAAGAGCAGAGACTCAGGGAAGCTCCAGTAACCACCATCTGATACCCTCACCTTCATGCTACAGAAGCAAATGAAAGTTGTGCTACTTTCAGATAAGCTAAGAAGGAGGCTTCCTGATCATAGTAAGTGAAACTTTCTCTCATGTTAACAATTAGGCCAAGGGCATTAGCTACAGAGAGGATCCACTGATAAATACAGAATATCAGAAGAGCGAAGAGGAAGCCACACAGATATCTTGTTTCTTCAAATATCAGAAACTTCTGCATGACAGCAGGAGAGCAATGGATGAACTCCACCTCGCCCAAAGGTTTAGTCCAAAAAATTCCTGTTGGCATTTGCACCAAATAAGGCTCCCCGTACTTCTGGCATCATCTGCTGGGCTATAAGATCCAGCCGGCTTTCTAGGGTATTGGAAACTTTTACTTTACGATCCCCATTATAGATCTCAACTCCACCAGCTATTTCCTCAGGCAGGTAGGCCTCCTGATCAATTTGGACATCAACATCTTTTTTGGTGGCAATTTTGTACATAGGAATCGCTTTTTGCACTGCAGCCTTTACCAGAGGGAAATCCTGCTTCCTGCAATGAACAGTCATTCAGGGCTCTAACAATTGGTACAAACCCTGAAGGACCAGTCCATCCAGCAGCACCTGGTACCTGGTTGTATCTTTTACCACTTTGCTGAGTCTCTGTTTTGCTTCATTTAGTAGGTCTGTAATAAGGTCATCTCAAGATAAAAAGCTTTTGCACAGCAAAGGAAACAGTCAACAAAACCAAAAGACAACCGATAGAATGGGAGAAGATATTTGCAAATGACATATCAGATAAAGGGCTAGTATCCAAAATCTATAAAGAACTCATCAAACTCAACACCCAAAGAACAAAGAATCCAATCAAGAAATGGGCAGAAGACATGAACAGACATTTTTCCAAAGAAGACATCCAAATGGCCAACAGACACATGAAAAAGTGCTCAACATCGCTCAGCATCAGGGAAATCCAAATCAAAACCTCAGTGAGATACCACCTCACAACAGTCAGAATGGCTAAAATTAACAAGTCAGGAAACGACAGATGTTGGCGGGGATGCGCAGAAAGGGGAACCCTCCTACACTGTTGGCGGGAATGCAAGCTGGTGCAGCCACTCTGGAAAACAGTATGGAGGTTCCTCAAAAAGTGGAAAATAGAGCTACCATATACGATCCAGCAATTGCACTACTGGGTATTTACCCCAAAGATACAAATGTAGGGATCCGAAGGGGTACGTGCACCCCGATGTTTATAGCAGCAATGTCCACAATAGCCAAACTATGGAAAGAGCCAAGATGTCCATCGACAGATGAATGGATAAAGAAGATGTGGTATATATATACAATGGAATATTATGCAGCCATCAAAAGGAATGAGATCTTGCCATTTGCAATGACGAGGATAGAACTGGAGGGTGTTATGCTGAGTGAAATAAGTCAATCAGAGAAAGACATGTATCATATGACCTCACTGATATGAGGAATTCTTGATCTCAGGAAACAAACAGAGGGTTGCTGGAGTGGGGGGTGGGGTGGGAGGGATGGGGTGGCTGGGTGATAGATATTGGGGAGGGTATGTGCTATGATGGCTTTTATTGAACAAGAAGCCAATGAGAAAGCAGAGGAAATAGATGTGAAGGCAGAGGAAGAGTTCAACACTGAGAAAGGTCGTCTTGTGCAAACCCAAAGACTGAAGATTATGGACTACTACGAGAAGAAAGAAAAGCAGATTGAGCAGCAGAAGAAAATTCAGATGTCTAATCTGATGAATCAAGCAAGGCTCAAAGTCCTCAGCATAATTACTTTTAGATACATCTGTATTGTTGTATATATCAGTGGCTCTTCCTTTTTATTGCCGAGTAGCATTCCATTGTGTGGATATACCACACTTTGTTCTGATGGGTATTTGGGTTTTATGCAGTTTTCCAGTGAGCATACACTTTCATTTCTCTTGGGTAAACAAATATCTAGAAGTTGAATGGCTGAGTTATACAGTAATTATATGTTAATCTTTTAAGAAAATGTAAACTGTTTCCAAAGTGCTTGTACTGAACATCTGTGAATAAAAAGTTTTACTTACTCCTCTCAATATGGATGCCTTTTATTTATTTTTCTTTCATGATTGCACTTGCTTGAACCACCAGTACCACAGAAATAACAGAAGTGGTAAGACCACATATCCTTGCCTTGTTCTGATCTTAGGAGAGAAACATTCAGTTTTTCACCATTAGGTATGAAGTTGGCTATAGGATTCATAAAGGGATGTATATGCCCTTTTTTAGATTAAGGAAGTTCTACTCCTAATTTGCTAGAATTTTAATCATGAATGGATGTTGGATTATGAAAAGTATTTTTTATGCATCTATAATTCTCTTTCTAAAATATAAATGTAATCATTTGCTCTCTTGCCCATCAAAATCTTCCCATCACTTTTAGAATAATGTCCAGGTTTTTTATCATAATTATGTATCTCCCACCACTTCTCAAAACATACCCTGTGTTATACTGCCACCAAACTACATATACAGTTGACCCCTGAGCAACACAGGTTTGCACTGCATGGGTCCATGTATAGGCAGATTTTTTATATATATAAATACAGTACAGTACTGTAAATGTATTTTCTCTTCCTTATAATTTTTTTTAAGATTTTATTTATTTGAGAGAGAGAGTGAGCGAGAGAGAGAGAGAGCACAAGCCAGGGGGAGAGGCAGAGGGAGAAGTAGACTCTCCGGTGAGCAGGAAGCCCAATGCAACTTGCAACTCAGGGCTTGATCCCAGGACCCTGGGATCGTGACCTGAGCCAAAGGCAGACGTTTAACCAACTGAGCCACCCAGGCGTCCCCTGTGATTTTCTTAATGACATTTTTGTCTCTAGCTGACTTTATTGTAAAAATACAGTATATAATACATGTAACTTAAAGATCTGTCTTAATTGACTGTTTATGTTATTGGTAAGTCGTCTAGTCAATAGTAGCCTATTGTAGTTAAGTTTTGGGGTAATCAAAATTTATATGTGGATTTAACTGGGCCAGGGGTTAACACTCCTAACCCCCACATTATTCAAGGGTCAACTCTAGTTCTATGAATGTATCAAATGCTATTTCAGGCCTCTGTGAATTTTCTCAGAAACCTGTTGTCCGGAATACCATCCTCCTCACCCCCTAACCCTTAAACGTGTCCTAGATATCCAATATTCAAGTGAACTCCAGCTGTCTTCTTTTAAACTCAACTGAAACATCACTTTGTGATCATTCCGTCTTCAGTGTTAAATTTGTGTTCATGCCTCTATTGTAGACATTACTACCCTGCATATAATTATTTATTTCATTGTCTCCCTCTTCAATAGATGAGTGAGGACAATGTTTGGCAAAATGCTTAATAAAAAGTAGGCCCTCAAGGGGCGCCTGGGTGGCTCAGTTGGTTAAGTGGCTGCCTTTGGCTCAGGTCGTGATTCCAGGGTCCTGGGACTGAGCCCCACATAGGGTTCCATGCTCAGCAGGAAGCCTGCTTCTCCCTCTCCCACTCCCCCTGCTTGTGTTCCTGCTGTGGCTATGTCTCTCTCTGTCAAATAAATAAATAAATAAAATCTTAAAAAAAAAAAGTAGGCCCTTGATATAAGTGAAATAAGCCCTGTGAAACTCATTGAAGACTGAGAAGTTTTGCAGAAAATTTCTTTATAAAAAGCTAAGACATTATTATTTTTATATTATATTCTCTTGCAAAAAATGTATTCTTTTCTAAAAATGACTATGCAATGCAAATATTTATGAGATCCATAGTACTAAGATAGTATAATTATTATCATCACAGCTCTGCTGATGCATTAATACCTAAAGCCAACATCAAAATCTAGCTCTATATTGTCCACCAGGGCCCCAGCAGGATACTTTACATATATTTACAAATATTAATTCATTTAATCCTCATGAAAACCTTGTAAGCAGGTCATATTATTATCTCCATTTTACAAATACAAAAACACAAGCACAGAGAAATTAAACCATGGAGCTAAAAGTAGCAAACCTTGTCTTTCAAACTAGGTAGCTGGGCTGTAGAGCCTAGTCTTCACTTCCATGATATATTTAATAATAACCTTTACAAAGCACAAAGTAAAGATACCATTTCCATTTTTGTTTCTTTAGCTATATTAACAGAGTATAGTTATATCTAATTGTGCTGCATACAAAAAACAAGTATGGCTTCCAGATTCTCCACAGCGGAATTATGACTATATTATGAAATATAAGGAACACAAAAATGTTTCTTATCAACTTGAAATGTTCACTGACAACTAATAACTCAAAAGCCATGGCTTTAAAAACACTGGCTTAAAAACTTAACCTTCCTTCAATTTAGCATTTTAGGAAAAACTATCAAATAAAAGTGAGTTTAAAATAATTCTGTGTGATACATGGGTTTTATATGTACATATTACAGTTGTAAGGACATTTCTGAATTCTTGTATATTGGGTGTGTGAAATGTTCCATGAAACTCGAATACTTGTACAGACTTCACTTTGGGATAACATAATAATTAAGAAGGAGTAAGCATGAAAAACAGGAGTTTCAAATAGCCTCCCAAGTTAAGTATCCTTAATAACTTCCCTATTAATAATTTAATATAGTTCTGAAGATAGTAATGACTCATTTAAAAGACTATATGAAGTAGATTACCTGCAAATGGAACAGAACTTTTTTGTTTTTTTCTATTTCTGATGTTTGTGATTGTTGTTGCTTTGCAACTTGTTCTACAGCATCAGTTAATGAAGATGTGCCTTGGTTAGCCAGAGCTGAACAAAAGAATAAAGTATATAATAAAAATGTAAGTTGCAAACACTCTAAGAAAGTTATTGTTTCTTCATACATAGTCATGAAAAATATGGTGTTTCTCTAAATAAAGTAGATTTAGGGTTGGTAATATTACCTTTCTGACTACAAACAAAACCAAAATCAAAAGCCATAATAACACACAATTCAGAATTGCCTACTGCAATGTTATACCTGTTCCTGTATGGAACAGGATAAATATTTTGATTGTCCTCATTTTTTTAATCCAGACCACTTATACATATGCGTAATTACAGTGCTATCATAATAACCATATAGCAATTATAGTTGATGAATTTTCAGTACAGGCCTGCATTTTTAGGTTGTTATGCCTTTTCTAAACACCATGTAAGTTTCTTCTTGGAGAAATTTAATAGCTTCCCTCTATTCTATTTGGCTATACATTTTAACACAATTATCCTATCATACTACCTTTTTGTTGCTGCTTATCTTTTAATTATTTATTTCTTAAGATTGCTTCATTACCTTCTTCAGGAACTCCTTGACCCTTCCTTTCTTTGTTGCCTGACATTCTACTTTGTCTCTTTCTCCCTTTTTTGTTCACCTTCTTTATGCCTACAAAATAATCAATATTGACAATTTTTCACTCTTCTTTGTTTTTTTCCCCCCATCATTTATCCTGGTGATACTGAAAGCAAATTCACTGTCAAATACCTCATAGGGATGGCAATGATATTTCATCTTTGTTCCAAGAATTAAAATACAATGGTTAAGTCAGAGAGTTTTAGAGAAAATAGAACTGTATTTGAATCTTGGTTCTCTTGCTTTTTAGCTGTTATGATTTTGAGCAAGTTTCTTAACTTCTTTGATCATCAGGGTCCTCATCTGTAAAACCTCACAGGACTGTCATAATAAAGTAATAAATGTAGCATGCTTATCATAGTACCTTACATATATAGTGAGTAATTAATTACTATGGACTCTGTCTAGGGTTTCCTTTGCTAGTTCCTCCTCAGCTTTCTCATCTAGGTCAGTGTCCCAGTGCTAAGTCCTTAGGCCTCTTCTCTCTACTCACTCTTCAGGTGATGTCATCTAGTTGCACAGCTTTAAAATCCACTTATAGGTTTTATTTATTTATATCTCTAACTTGAACATCCTTCTTGAGCTCCAGACTCATTCTAAATTGCCTACTTGGTATCTTCACTCGGATTTTTACAGTCATTTCAACTTAATATATCCCAAACTGAACTCTTGATGTCTCTGTTCACTCCATCACCACCACTAAACCTGCTCCTTCATAGTCTCTTCCTTTCAATAAATTACAAGTTTTTCTTGTTCAGGCCCAAATCCCTGGAGACATTAGCAAGGAGGCCTCTAGAAGAGTGTAGAGCCCATGGAAATTCAACAAGACTTGCCCAAGATAATCATAAATGAGAGCTCACTGTTGATGTTTCATAGGCTCTTTGGGAAATCCTTTAAGACATTTTCCAAGTATTTGGCCCAGGACTTCTGCCCTAATTGTTTACTCAAAGGACAAACCAGAATCTCGACTTTTCTCTTATATGCTGCATGCAATTCTTTTAGCAAAACTCATTGGTTCTACGTTTAAATTATATTGGAATTCACTCACTGCTTACCACTTCTAAATAGTATCTTAGTAGAGAAGCCTTCCCTCATAACCTTTAAACAGGACCTCTCCTCCTTCATTCTCCCATTTCCTTACCCTGCCTGATTTTT